GGAGGCTCAGACAATTTCAGGAGAGTCAACAGGAGGAACCCTGGAGATTTCCTGGGTTCTGTGTTTCAGTGTCTCAGTTCCAGTCAACTTCTACCAGAGTAGGTCACTGTTCTACTGTCTAAATTGGACAGACCACATATTGGTTATGAGCTTCTACCCTTGAGAAAGTCAGCCATGGCAGAGAAGGAAGAAAGGGCAGCAGGATACAAGCTACACAGTCAGCTCATCAGTATAGTTCTATACATGCACATTTGACTGCTCAATACACACATTCCCATGTAGTCCAAGATGCCTCCAACTACCGCCACCCAAACACTCTGAACAATGGCAAGCTTGCTCACTTACTTCACAATGGGAAGTTGTCTGAAGTTACACACAGCTGCTGCAGCCAAGAGCAATAATAGATTTCACAAAGCCATTGCTCATAAAGATCAGTGATTCTCAACTCTCTGTAAGAAAGAAACAGTAAATTTTTGTTTCTAATCTGTCATGGACAAATTCATTGGGAAAATGCAATAAAAATGAATTGCGAGAAAAATGAAATTAAAAAGAACATAAAAAGCAAGCCTCAGTGTTTTATTATTACATACAATAGTCGTAGAGATTTTCATACCAATTTGACAGAGTCATTTTAAATACTCTCTATTTCTACACTCCTTGCATCATGAACCAATAATAAATAGCTCACAGACTGGCACCAGCCTGCAGACCCCCCACTTTGAGTGTCTCTGCTATAGATGATATCCATCCCCCCTCAAATTCTGCTTCAATCTACAGTCCCAAAAGAATACTTTATCAACAACACACTCTGCATACAATATGGATAGAAAAGAACACATTTTGCTCTATGTCATGTCACAGCAAGTAAGGAAACAGGCTTTCTTTCTTTCTGCTTTCAAAGGCTGCAAAACCTTTCCTTAAAATCCAAGAGCTTTCATTGCAATTTTATTAGGAATTGCCACAGGCACCNTTTTTTTCCCTTGCTCAAAGTGTTTCCCATGGGGCTTTAACTCCCAGGCTTTGCCTGGTTATATACCTGGTCACTCAGGACAACCACTAAAGAAGCCAGATGTCCTACCTCACAGTATGGCATTCTGAGCCTGGAAATATAGGCCCAGGGAAGTCACCGCCCCTGCGAGTCTCCTTGGGTCATGTCTGGACTCTGCAGCGGCTGCAGCTCTCACTGTGGTAGGGACAGTGGAGGACATGCTGAAGATGGCTTCCCCAGGGGAGGCAGGCTCAGCTGCTGACATTCAGAAATGAGGCGATGACACTGGGGCAGAGGCTGTCTTTGTCCAACCAGTCGAGGAGCCAGGGAACAGGCGAGTCCAAGAAAATCTAGGGAGGGTCATAAATTGGGTCCATCCAAAGTAGCTATTTCAAAAATGCTACACATTTAATGTCTGATATCTGGTATATTAGCAGACCATGAGTCCCCTGCAATCACTTTCATCAGTTCAGTTCTCAGGCACGCATTGCTCCGCTACTGCTGCCTGCCGGCGTAACTGCTACCTTCTTCAGAGGGTGGCCCTTCGGTTTTGGGCTCTGGGAGTTCCGTGCCTTCCCTACTCTCTTCCTCAGTGGTAGCTTCAAGGGCAGGACACATTTTGTGGCCCCAAGGCCCCTAGGAACAAGGCTGAGGCTTCACCTGAAGCCATATCCCCACTGATCTTCTATCTCTGACCCGTCCTGCTTTCCACACTTTCTTCCAGGCTTCTCCTGAAAAACACTCCATCATTACTTGTCCACAAATCCCCATCTCTGGTGGGGTTGGTCCCTAGAAGCAGAGCCAGAGACAGAGCACATGTATAGGAAACCACATTACACAGGAGAGACCAGGGCGCTACTGTGCTGTCAAGGACCATTTTCCAGTTTAGACTTCTATGCCAAAATGTTTCTTCTTACTGAAAGGGCAGATTAGAGTATCCTCCTCAATAGTACTCTATGCAAGAAATAATATAGCTGGACAGAGCTTACTTTTTTTGTTTGTTTGTTTTTAGCAAGAATGCTCGCTACAAAGCCAAGACAACAGACAAAAGAAAACCAGGATTAACAAGGCAGACNGGTGGGGTAGGGGGCCTTGTGGAGTGCAGAGAGCTGGCAGTACTGTCAGCAGCGCACCCTGAGAAGAAACCGCATGTTTCTCCGAGTATATAATAGGAATGTCTATCTATCCTTTGCAACTTTGGGAATCCCCAAATTAGCTTTTTGACCTCTTTTGTAAAGGCTGCTTAGAGTAAGAGAGACAACTGGTAGCTATTTGCATGCCCCATACTTTCAAAATAGTTGATCAAAAGCAGTACCACATCCTAGGATATATTCAAAGGCTTGAAAGATGTACATGTGGGTTTTTATACCTATTCTTATCCAGTTTAGCCATTTCAAACACTGATGACAGTTGAAGAAAAGTTTTTGCTTTTATATCAAAAGAGTAAAAACACCAACCAACCAACAAACAAAACTAGACTTTAAAGGCTGGCTCATCAATATAATTCCTGAAGATTCCATGTTTAATTTGAGCCAAAGATTTCTGCTTATCTATTTCCTGAGCCCTGATTACTGCTCTGCCTTTGCATCTCTGACCACACCCACTTGGAGTCTGCAATCATTTGCCTTCAGCCTGATTCCTAACTGCTGAGTTTTGGTATCCCATTTTCATTGCATCTCACTTCTCTGCAGTCCTGACCCACAAAAAACAGTTAGTAATGTGCATTTTGAAATGATTCTGCAGCTTGGCTCAGCATTCTGTTTCTTGTGGGAATGAAGGTTCTTCTGAGCTCCAGGAGTAGAACAGAATGAGAGGGAGGTATGCCATACATATACATATATATTCAAACTTATGTTTTTAGTTCTTGCAGACTCTGAGAGCAAAAACAGTCCCAGAATGATAAAGGGGAAGAAATTCAATGTCACCTAGTGTAGGACAGCATTCAGCAATGGTCTGCACTCACCAGTGGAAATTCAAGCTGGCTGCCTAGGCAAGTTCATTGAATGCACACTACTCGGTGAGTCCTATACCAATGATTTCAGCGGATCTGAATTTCTGAAATTTGCTCTGAAAATGTATTCTTCACTGTGCCCTCTAAGGCATGCATGTGATAAATTTAAATTAATTTTTGTTACTGAGAGCAATAATGAAAGAGATATTGGATTGGGCCACAAATAGTTGCCAGATAAAATAAAGGACATCTAATTAAATTTGAATTGAGATAAACAACTAATAATATTTTAGTGTAGGTATGTCCTAGGCATATTTGGGA